TTGTTCAACAGACAAAGAAACTCTAGGTTTGTAAGCGTTTAAGACTAAGTATATATTAAGGGTGTCACGATCCTCCAAATCCTCGATTCGATTACATTTTCGATTCTAAAGTCACGATTCGATTTTCGATTATGAATAATTAATTAATTAATGACCAATTAATGATTTGTAGCCTACCGTTTAAACTACCTGACCTGCATGGTCTTTGTTTTACCCATAAACAAATCATACAGTAAATGAATAAAGTCAAGATACACACATAATTACCACCTGTCAATCACTTTTTCTGCGGGACTCGTGAATAGGCAGTGATCTGTGTCGTTATAATGGCGTTGGTAAAAAAGACGAACAACATACTGGAACCAGCCAACAGTATCTGAGGTGTTCACTAAAATGACTAAGTACAAGTGAGTGAAAGATTGAAGCAGTCCTCTGACTGCCTGGACCCGCTGTCTCGAGCGGCCGTGTGTGTGCGTCTGTGTCTGTGTGTGTGTGTGTGTGTGTGTCAGAGGTAGTGAGGAAGGAGGGCTGCTTAGAAATGCTACACGCCACTGTGGATGTCAAATCGTTGTCGTTCTAAAAATGCCATTTAAAAACAAAGACAGTGTAAACAGGGCCTGAGTGTGAACTTTTCGCGAGCGGATTTGTAACGGGGGCGGGCGGAGGATCGCGATGCCGGTGTTGTCTATCGGACGAACCCTAATAAGTACATAGCAGAGCTTGCAAAGCTGTGTTTTGCAAACACACTGGATTAACTCACTGGAAATCCAAAATGCTTCCACACCGGCGACTTCATTGAAAGAGGAGAGGGTTTAAGTTCTGTCGACGGGTCTCCTGCTTCTGCAGTTCAACAAGCACTTCAACAAGCCTGTTATTTTCCCGCTTGGCAAGCCAAGCTGACGTGACATGAGGGCGTGGCAGCATCGACGATTCTATTTTTTGATTCGATAATCGAAATTGAGCATAAATTTCGATCGATTTCGAGACACCCCTAGTATATACTGAACTATTCGTCAACATACTGTATTTATAGAAAATTCATATAAATAAGACAAGTGCCCTTTTTTCCAATTGAGCCCCAACCCCTCTGCATGACCCAGATCTGCAGCAGTAATTTGCAAAATATGCACGTTTTGTTGGGATCAGTGGGATTGTTTACATTCCGCTCTCCAATATGGCCGACTGATGACACATGGGGAAAACACTTTATTCTTGAGTTGTTCCACTGAGACGAACCTATCACCTAAAATGACTAACAAAGAGTTCTGAGATGCAGATCTTGTGAGTCAGACACGCACCTGCATCTCTAACACAAACATTTCAGTCCAGACAGAAGAGGTGGAAGCTGGTGCACGCTGAAGATTTCAACCCCGAGTAACAGAAGCCTGAATCAACAGAGCTCTTCCTCTGAGCTTCCTGCTTCAGTCTCGCTCGAGATTAGCCCTGATTCCACCGAAAGTGTTGCACAGCAATTTTATTGCACTTTTGAGAAATGGTGAAGTTACTGCTGATAACACACTTATTTTTGGTATGAGTATGCTTGTTTTTTTACAATCTGCACTGTTAATGGGAATTTAGACAGCACAATTTGTTATGATAAACATGTCAGTTACTGTAAATCTCTCCAGTATCGCTTTCCATGGAATTAAAGGCCCAGTTCACCCCAAAATGAAAGTTATGCTATTATTTAGGTTTCAGTTTCTTACTTCTGTTGAACACTGATGAAGATATACTGAAGAATGCATGGGGGAAAAAATGTCAGTGACTTCCATTGTATATCTTGTATATTTCCTACTATGGATGTCAATGGCTTTTGGTTTTTACTACTGGCGCATGAATTTCTTAACGTAAGGTGGTTTTATTTATCTTTTATATTGCTGATTCTGGGCGGCATGTTGGCTCAGTGGTTATTACTGTCCCTTAACAGCAAGAAGGTCGCTGATTCGAGTCCCGGCTGGGCCAGTTGGCATTTCTGTGTGGAGTTTGCATGTTCTCCCCATGTTGGTGTGGGTTTCCTCCGGGTCCTCCGGTTTCCCCCACAGTCCAAACACATGCGCTATAAGGGGAACTGATGAACTAAATTGGCCGTAGTGCATGAGTGTGTGTGTGTGTGTGTGTGTGTGAATGAGTGTGTATGGATGTTTTCCAGTACTGTTTGCAGCTGGGAGGGCATCCACTGTGTAAAATATATGCTGGAATAGTTGGTGGTTCATTCCACAGTGGCGACCCAGGATAAATAGGGGACTAGACTGAAGGAAAATGAATGAATGACTGTTACTGATTCTAGAATTGAAGGTAAATTCAGCATCTCCTAGATAAACCTTACATTATTTTTCAAAAGTAAAAACTTTAATAAAAGCGTTTGCAATAATAAAACAAATTATGTGAAGTTATCTCCAAAATATAGTGTTTGTCTGTATAATTAGGGCTATTTTGTCTTATATTTATCATCTTAAAGTCTACCACTATACATATTTTTGACTCCGCTCCCTGAATCATACCTTCAGCTTCAAATATTATGAAATAATCAAGTATAAGACTTTAGTCCTTTTACTCTGCTAGGCAAATAAACATTTGCATGACACATCTATTTTCTGCATTACTTGTATAGTCAGTTATAAATAAATTAATATATTATGTGCCTGTCTCTGCATTCTTGTCAACTTTGTTACTGTTGAATTCTAAATCAGGGACTAGGTCGCAAGAAAGTGAGTGAGAGTGAAATTATTTTGCGCTATAATGTTGGAAAATTTGACAAGGCAGGACAAAAACTGCATTTAGCAGCAGCATGCTCACAATCACAAATATGAGACAGTTCACCCCTCTTCCTGTTTTTCCTGCACCACTCCTCAGCATGCTTCAGCAGAGGAAGTAACAAATCTAAGCATACATTATGATTGTACACATGACACACAGGGCTGCACGTAGATGAATCCATTATCACGCAAGTTGAAGGACATTAAAGGCATCGTTCATCCAATTTTCTCATCATTTACTCTCCCTCGTGGTGTTTTAAAGCTTCATGAGTTCTTTATTATGTTAAACACAAAAGAAGATATTTTGAAGAATGTTGGCACCCATAAAAAATACAATAAAAGTTGGCTACCAGCATAATAACTGACGTTTGATACCAATATAATATAATATAACCCCACCAGGCTGGCCGGCTTGATTGAAACACTGATGGGTAGGGTCGCGAATCAGACTATGGTCCTTGACCGCAAACTGGAAACCATCGAGGTGAAGCTTGCGGCACTGCAACAAATTTTGGCCAGATCGGGAGACGAGTGATGGACATTAAATATCTGTGAAATTGGCAGATATTGACCTAAAGTTGAAGTATCCTAAGATCTGTCTCCCCTGAAAAGTTGTTTGTGATGTTTTGTGTATGGTCTGGGGGGTCCAATTTCGCTATACGAAAGTGTAGTGACAAATAAGGGCTTAATTGATTGATTGATTGATTGATTTAATATAATATAATATAATATAATATAATATAATATAATATAATATAATATAATGTAATATGATATAATTTAATATAATATAATGTAATATAATATAATATAATATAATATAATATAATATAATATAATATAATATAATATAATATAATATAATATAATAAAATATGATAAAATAAAATATAATATGATATAATTAATATAATAAAACAAAACAAAATGTAATGTAATGTAATATTTGGAACAACTTGAGAAAGCGTAAACAGTGAGTAAAATTTAACTTTGAGGTGAACTATCTCTTAAAGTATTCTGGTTGGTCGCTAGGCGTTGCTAAGCTGTTTTGATTGGTTGCTGGGTGTTGCTATGATGTTCCGGTTGGCTATTTGGTATTGTTTTGATTTTCCTGACCTACTAGAAGTAACGTTAGTTTCAGCAGGCTTGCTGATCGCATTATAGTTGCTTTTTAGTTATTACATCGTCAAACCATAAAATTATTAGACATTCAGGTTAAGAAAACAATTCTGACCAATTTTAGGAAATAAAATGAGGGAAACAATGTAAAGCTATCTTATATTATTATAAGTACCAGTCTGCTTCGACTGTGAGGTGAAACAAACATAGGTAAGTTAAGAGCTCGCTCTCCCTCAAACATAACGTTACACTAAATTTATTGCTCTTTATGAAAGAATTGCTGAAAGTACAGTGTTGTCGTTGACAGCAGTCAAATGGTGCTAATCAGTTGTTGATTGAGGTAAAGTTGGTTTTATATTTACACATTCAGACTTTCTCCTTAATTAATTCTAAATAGTGAAATCATATAAGCAGCCACCGAAAGTACAAGTTTACAGTCAAATAAATAGTGCTAATGTTGTTTTGAAGTTATTCACATCTTATTTCAGACCGAATATTCAAAGAAAGGTTATCATAGTAACACTATAGGGAGCGTGTCACAAGCTCGCATTGAACGAATGTGCGAATGTAGAACCAACTTTACCTCAATCTAATGTTCTGAGATCATCCTTACATGTGATTTCAGACTGAATTTTCAAAGTAGAGTGTTAAACAATATTGGAACCGTGTCACAAGTTGTCACTGAACGTCTGTGTGAATATAAAACTAACTTTACCTTATTAGTATCACGGGCTCTAATTAAACTAAGCGTTATTCGAGACGTGGCCGCTTTAACGTTACCTCAGGTGCGCGTTCATTATCAGCGCTCCGTAACAAACTATTCCTGCTCTGGCTGCCTTACAAGATCACCTAATTCTCTGTTGTTTTACACATCCGTGTGCCTGCATTGACACTTGCCCCTCTTGTGTAAAGGGGGCTTTTCTTCCTAAAGAATGCCAGGAAATCACACTTCCAGTAGCAACTACCGTCACGTTTAAAAAACTCTGACTGCGGGATGCTAATTTTTTTGTTCGGCTGTTCTAACTTGCGATTGGCTGCTGGCAGACGCGCCGCGCTCTGATTGGCTGGAGCCGCTCCTCTTTGTTGCGGGCGCTCTATAACAGCATCCTCCCTTCATTGCAGAGCAGAAACTCCTCAAGCACTTCATCTGAGCGATGTAGAGACACTTCTGCTGCTTCTGACAGATTTAGAGTTTGGAGAAAAAAAACAAAAACAATGGCAAATATGATTTCTGCATGTCTGGAGATTGTTGGACTCTGCTTGACCGTCACCGGGACTCTTTTGGTGATGGTAGCCTGTGGGTTGCCCATGTGGAAAGTGTCCGCCTTCATTGAAGGCAACATTGTGGTGGCGCAAAACATCTGGGACGGGCTGTGGATGTCCTGCGTTGTTCAAAGCACAGGTCAGATGCAATGCAAAATGCACGACTCTGTCTTGGCGCTGACCACTGACCTCCAGACAGCTCGGGCTCTGACTGTCATCTCTGCGGTTTTGGGGGTCCTGGCTCTCATGATAACCATCGCCGGTGCTCAATGCACCAATTGCATCAACACGGAGTCCATCAAATCCAAAGTGGTCAACGCCGGAGGCGTGATGTACATCGTCGCAGGCTTGTTTGTTCTGATTCCTCTGTGCTGGATGGCCAATAACATCATCTCAGACTTCTACGATCCTCAAGTTCCCTACGCCAAAAAGAGAGAAATCGGAGCTGCGCTGTACATCGGATGGGCAGCATCTGCAATGCTTCTGGTCGGAGGAGCGATTCTGTGTTTCTCCCGTCCACATGATGAGAAATCCACATATCCACTTAAATATATCCCTCCGCCGACAAAAGGCACATCGATCAATGGGGACTATGATAAACGAAACTACGTCTGATCAAGAGGCTAACTATATGGACTTTTGCAGGTGCAAATGGACTTTTAAAACGATAATGCTGATGATACACCGTGGACCTACTTTGGGAAATGATCCCATAGGCAACTAGGTGTTACTAATTAGGGCAATGGGATCCAGATACAATATTGTTGCCTATTCTTAATGGAAAAGCAACTTTACAACATTGCAAAATCGCTCAAAAAGTCGCCCTGTGTATCATCAGCATAAGGGTAGCTTACCGATAAGCATGTTTTTTATGTTTTGTACACATTTGTACTGATCTTCAATTCTTTTATATGACTGTACAGTGTAAGAATTATTTTTAAAGTGCAAATGTTGCAGGTCATATTGATAAAAATGCCATTTTTTTACATGCAACAAGTCTTGTATTGAACTAGTCAACATTTAAAGTGGATCAAGAGTGACCCAAGACAAGAGTGGGTATTGTTCTGATGTTTTTCCTAGTTTTTTTAATCCAATTCAAATGTACTGTAGATTCATTTCAGTGAAACAGCATTGCATACTTGCATTTGAAAGCTATTTAATATGCTCTATTAACCGAAGGTCGCGGTAATAACGAATTAAATGCACACGGGTATTTTTGGTCTTCGTTAATGATATTAGGGTCAGCGACCCACTTGTTTGTGTTCGATTTTTATCACTGTGGCTCAAGGGGGGTGAAGGGAGGGTCCATATTTCTTGTTTTTGTTCTGCTTTACTAATTAGACACGGTCTGTGCTTCAACGAGACACTGAATAATGTCTATTGTTCTGCCTGTAAACGTGCAGGCAGGCTGGTTTGATCATCTAAACCTCCTGATTGTACATAATTGTATGAAACTTTTTAGTAAATTTGTGCATATACAAAGTAATAAATAAAATGTTTTTTTGTTAACGTGTCCCTAATGTTTAATAATGTGTGCTTTTAATGCGTACGCTTTAATAATAAATGTGATTTTCTTTTACATTTGTGATATCTACATCTCTTTTTAAAATAAGTCAACCTTTTCTAGATGAATTATAAAACAATTAATGTATAAACACAGGTTAAAGTCTAGTTTACTGCTTAATTCAATTGTTTTAGTGAACATAAAATGTTTAAATATAAGCTATAATGTCCCATCAGCATTCAGAGTATAGTAAATAAAAGAATATATAAAATATATAAAAGATAAAGTGGTCATACTGGATTTTATTTTTATGTGAAAAGTTATTCTAATTAAAAACTAATTAAAGTTTGAATTGTGATAAAAAATTTATAATAATAATAAAAATAATAATAATTAATTATTTTATAATTGATGAATATAAAATTATTTTGTAATAAATGAAATAAAATATTATATAAACAAATTTAAAATATACAGTTGAAGTCGGAATTATTAGCCCCCCTTGAACTTTCTTTTAATAAAAGATATCATATGTTTCTTCGCTGGTGTTTTGTTTTTTTCAGCTTGTTTGTGTAATTTACAAGTGGATCAAACTTGCTCATTTTGAGGCAGGAACCGGCGGACATGCAACAACTTTAATCATAAGGTAAACACAAAACAAGTTTCCATCCTGAGCTCCTTTACGGGACTCCACACTTTCTGCATCGGGCTCTCGCGGCTCTCATCTCCGCCCACACTCATCAGCGCTACCAAGCCGACCAATCACAGAGCTCGCGCTACACATCGTTGCGACGTGTAGTTGCGTTTGTTGAGAAGCACGTGTCATAGCACATGGCCACGGCCACTTGACACTGAAGTATAAGTCAGTCTTAACCTGAATACTAGTGTCTTAAATAATATCTAGTAAAATATTATTTACTGTCATCATGATAAAGATAAAATAAGTCAGTTGATTGACTCAACACAGAATATGTGCCTTATGCTTTTAATGTTGTGCAGAGAATTCGTAGAAAAAGAGGAAGTATGTATGGGTGCGGCCAATGGAGGACTGGAGAATGATTCACAAATTTCACTAAACTACATCTTTTAATATCAGCTGCCTATAAAAGTTGGAGTCAGAAAGTGGAAATTGCTGCGCACATCCTGAATGTTACTTTTGCGGTGCCTTGAGGATACCAAGATTCTGTGAAATCGAATTGTTAATTTGTATCTAGTAAATTACCAAGATTTTTGACATTGAAGAAAACCCTCTTCTGATCTTTTTTTATTGAACATGCATGGAACTGGTTAGATATTCCATAATATATATAATTATTAGCCCCCTGAATTATTTGCCACCCTGTTTAATTTCTGTCTCAATTTCTGTTTAATGGAGAGCAGATTTTTTCAACACATTTCTGAGCATATTAGTTAAAAACTGATTTGTTTTTTCTTTGCCATGATGACAGTAATATCTGACACTTCTATACAGCTTAAAGTAACATTTAAACTAGGTCAATTAGGTTAACTAGGCAGGTTAGGGTAATTAGGGAAGTTATTGTATAATGATGGTTTGTTCTGTAGACTATCGAAAAGAAAATAGCTTAAAAGGGCTAATAATAATGACTCTAAAATGGTGTTAAAAAATTAAAAACTGCTTTTATTCTAGCCGAAATAAAACAAATAAAACTTTCTCCAGAAGAAAAAATATTATCAGACACACTGTGAACATTTCCTTGCTCTGTTTATCATCGTTTAGAAAATAAAAAATTAAAAGGGGGGGGCTAATAATTCTGACTTCAACTGTATGTGTGTGTGTCTATATATATATATATATATATATATATATATATATAATTAATTTATATATCCAATTTATTAATCCATACTTTTTTTTTTAAGATTAATTTTTTGTTTTTTTTGGCCTTTATTAGATAGGACAGTATTTAGACACGAAACGAAGTTGGAGAAAGAGGGTAGGGTAGGGAAATGTCCTCGAGCCGGGATTCGATCTCGGGACGCCCTGACGTGCTACTGCACCATATGTCGACGCGCTAACCACTAGGCTATTGCGCCGACTATTAATCCATACTTGAGCCAAACCTGTAATTCTTAAATTAAGACATTTCTATTTTAGTAAATGTGCATGACAATATTGTTTATTGTTGGAGTGATATTTTAGTGGTTACCTTTAGCAAAGCATAGAAAAATTACAGTATTTTCTTTCTGCTCATAAAAAGTTCATTTATACAGTACATTCTAATGTAAGAGAGAAAATGCACAGCCTTATTGCACTTTTATTATTTTTGTTTCATCTCTGACCCCTTTATTAATTGTAACATGTCACTGTAATCAGTGCAAGTTAAGAATATGCATTGTTAAAGCAAGGACAAGGAAAATCAAGAGTCGTAACCTTTATTCTCATAAAACCCACGAGCATCATCTGAGCTCTCAGGAATCCTGGAACTTTGACCCAGTTCTGAGTCCAGTGGGAAGAGCTCATGCTCTGTCATGACAGAAAAAACGCACGCGAGAAATGATGGCGCCTCGTCTCTCCTGATGTGGCCGTAGATTAACTGAACGAAAGCCAAATCTGGTCAAGCGCTCATTTCCCCGTGAGCGCAGGAAGAAGCAGATGCACATGCATTAAACGCTGATTGAACAAACAGCATTCTGAGACATCTCATCTTAGCTCACTCAAGAATTTACCAACTCATGTTTATAGAAAGGCGCAAAAAGAAATAAAACTGTGACTTGTGTAGGAGTGTTTTGACTATAAAACTTAATTTAATTGAATGTATATTTTTAAAGGGGTGCTATTGTGCAAAAATCACTTTTATAAGGGGTTTAACCACAGTTGTGTGGCAGCAGTCTGTGAATATAACCAACTTAAACATGAATTAATAGTATTTGTTATAATCAGACTTGATAAAAGCAGTGGCCGTTTCTCAATATACGTTCTTCGGCGTATGTAAAGTCATTATCAACTGCCAAAGTTCCTTTCCAAAACTCAAGATGGCATTTTTAAATATGCAAAACTAAAGTATAATTATCAAAAAAAATCAAATCAACACATTATATAAAAATAGTATATCAATTGCATTTGCTGCAGATTAATCCTGTTAAAACTATATTAAGAATATGGCATTTAAATAACACGATGTGAAGTGATTTGTAAACTTAATATCATCATTTATTTATTTTAAAATGCATTAGAAATACATATAACTCATTATGTACAGTCAGATATGCTTTTACATTCCCAGTGAAATCATCAAGTGAGGCTTTCAGTTTAACTGTGGTTAGTCCTTCTGACCCATACAAGGCAGAAGATCTGGACGCTCTACTGCACTCTTGTGGCACAAATAAGCAAATGCACTTCAAAAACATCTTCATTCAGCACTGGCCAGTCACAATAATACAGTCCTGAGATCATGTGACCGACCCCATTAGCCAATCCAGGCACAGTGACAGATTAAACATCAGCTCTCCTATTGCTGGTACTCTTTTAGGATGTTGTTTGCGATGACCAGTCTTTGGATCTCGCTGGTTCCCTCGTAGATCTCAGTGATGCGGGCGTCTCTGTAGTGTCTTTCCGCAGGCATATCTGTGACGTAACCCATTCCTCCAAGCACCTGGATGGCCTTCATAATCAAACACAATACTGATTTTAGTTCACCTATGACCTATAAATATATACATTAAGAATGTTCACGATGCCCTACCTGATGAGAGGCAAAAGTAGCAGCTTCAGATGCTGCCAGTTTGGCCATGGCAGCTTCCTGGAGAACAAAACAAAACATATGCAGAAAAAAGATTTGTTGTATAGTATGTTGCTATGTAGTTTCTAAGAGTTTTTAAAGTGTGTTTCGGTTTTTGTTTGTTGCTAGGCACATGCAACATTTTACAAATGTGTATTGGGAATTGCTAAGATGACCCAAAGGTTTTTATGTTCTAAATGATTCCAATGAGTTCCAAATGTGTTTTTATTATTTTGCTATGCAACTTCTAGCATATTCCGGGTTTAGTGTGTTTTAATGCAGTTGCTGTTCCAAATGTCTTTAGTATGTTGCTGTGCAGTTGCTGTGTTCCAAATACATTCCCAATTTCTTTAGTGTGTTGCTATGCAGTTGCTGTTCCAAATGTCTTTATTATGTTGCTATGCGTTGCTATATTCCAAATACATTCCAAATGTCTTTAGTATGTTGCTATGTTCCAAATGTTTTTGTTGTGTTGCCATGCAGTTGCTATGTTCTACATGTTTTTATTGTGTTGCCATGCAGTTGCTATTTTCCACATGTTTTTATTGTGTTGCCATGCAGTTGCTATGTTCCACGTTTTTATTTTGTTGCCATGCAGTTGCTATGTTCCAAAGTCTTTTGTTGTGTTGCTATGTTCCAAATATGTTCCAAATGTCTTTAGTATGTTGCTATGTTCCATATGCTTCTGTTGTGTTGCCATGCAGTTGCTATGATCCAAATGCTTTTATTGTGTTGCTATGCAGTTGCTATGTTCCAAATACATTCCCAATTTCTTTAGTATGTTGCTATGCAGTTGCTGTTCCAAATACATTCAAAATGTCTTTAGTATGTTGCTATGTTCCAAATGCTTTTGTTGTGTCGCCATACAGTTGCTATGTTCCATATGTTTTTATTGTGTTGCCATGCAGTTGCTATGTCCAAAATGCTTTTATTGTGTTGCTATGCAGTTGCTATGTTCCAAATACATTCCCAATTTCATTAGTGTGTTGCTAAGCAGTTGCTGTTCCAAATACATTCCAATGTCTTTAGTAAGTAGCTATGTTCCAAATGCTTTTATTGTGCTGTTATGTTCCAAATATGTTCCGAATGTCTTTAGTATGTTGCTATGTTCCATATGCTTTTGTTGTATTGCCATGCAGTTGCTATGTTCCAAATGCTTTTATTGTGTTGCTATGCAGTTGCTATGTTCCGAATACATTCAAAATGTCTTTAGTATGTTGCTATGTTCCAAATGCTTTTGTTTTGTTGCCATACAGTTGCTATGTTCCATATGTTTTTATTGTGTTGCCATGCAGTTGCTTTGTTCCAAATGCTTTTATTGTGTTGCTATGCAGTTGCTATGTTCCAAATACATTCAAAATGTCTTTAGTATGTTGCTATGTTCCAAATGCTTTTGTTGTGTCGCCATACAGTTGCTATGTTCCATATGTTTTTATTGTGTTGCCATGCAGTTGCTATGTTCCAAATGCTTTTATTGTGTTGCTATGCAGTTGCTATGTTTCAAATACATTCAAAATGTCTTTAGTATGTTGCTATGTTCCAAATGCTTTTGTTGTGTCGCCATACAGTTGCTATGTTCCATATGTTTTTATTGTGTTGCCATGCAGTTGCTATGTTCCAAATGCTTTTATTGTGTTGCTATGCAGTTGCTATGTTCCAAATACATTCAAAATGTCTTTAGTATGTTGCTATGTTCCAAATGCTTTTGTTGTGTCGCCATACAGTTGCTATGTTCCATATGTTTTTATTGTGTTGCCATGCAGTTGCTATGTTCCAAATGCTTTTATTGTGTTGCTATGCAGTTGCTATGTTTCAAATACATTCAAAATGTCTTTAGTATGTTGCTATGTTCCAAATGCTTTTGTTGTGTCGCCATACAGTTGCTATGTTCCATATGTTTTTATTGTGTTGCCATGCAGTTGCTATGTTCCAAATGCTTTTATTGTGTTGCTATGCAGTTGCTATGTTCCAAATACATTCAAAATGTCTTTAGTATGTTGCTATGTTCCAAATGCTTTTGTTGTGTCGCCATACAGTTGCTATGTTCCATATGTTTTTATTGTGTTGCCATGCAGTTGCTATGTTCCAAATGCTTTTATTGTGTTGCTATGCAGTTGCTATGTTCCAAATACATTCCTAATATCTTTAGTATGTAGCTATGCAGTTGCTATGGTCCAAATATGTTCCAAATGTCTTTAGTAAGTAGCTATGTTCCAAATGCTTTTATTGTGCTGTTATGTTCCAAATATGTTTCAAATGTCTTTAGTATGTTGCTATGTTCCAAATGCTTTTGTTGCGTTGCCATGCAGTTGCTATGTTCCACATGTTTTATTGTGTTGCCAGGCAGTTGCTATGTTACAAATACATTCCCAATTTCTTTAGTATGTAGCTATGCAGTTGCTATGGTCCAAATATGTTCCAAATGTCTTTAGTATGTTGCTATGCAGTTGTTATGTTTCAAATGTTTTTATTGTGTTGCTATGCAGTTGCTATGTTTCAAATGTTTTTATTGTGTTGCTATGCAGTTGCTATGTTTCAAATGTTTTTATTGTGTTGCTATGCAGTTGCTATGTTCCAAATGCTTTTATTGTGTTGCTATGCAGTTGCTATGTTTCAAATGTTTTTATTGTGTTGCTATGCAGTTGCTATGTTCCAAATGCTTTTATTGTGTTGCTATGCAGTTGCTATGTTCCAAATGCTTTTATTGTGTTGCTATGCAGTTGCTGTGTTCCACATGATTTTGTGTTGCCATGCAGCTGCTATGCCCTAAATGTTTGTTCGATTTCTGTGTGTCTATAGACAGTTACTAAGTTCCAAATGTGTATTTTGCTCCAAATAATTTATTGTATTTGGAGACACAATGATGTTCACTGTACCACTGAAGTACACTGGCCTTGAATATGAACAAACTGTATTTACCAAGTAGTTCCAACAGTCTGCAATAAGAAAACACACTAACCTTAGTAAAAGGTTTCTTTGCATCGCGCAGAAGTGCAGCTTTCCAGGTGAGCAGTCGAGCACTCTCTATAGCCACGGCCATGTCTGCCAGTTTAAACTGAAAGAGACATTTACAGATAAACTTAAAGCATTGGACTCAGGGCTCGACAGGGCAGAGATTGACTTCCATGGAGAAATGACAACAAATGAGCACACAAAGAAACACAGAAAAGATGGCCCTACAGACACTTATTGTATTCATTTATTATTAAAATAATCTGTTGCTCCTAAATAAACAACATTTACACAAAACAACAACAAAACAATTCCAAAGGACGTTCACATGACAAGGCTTAAAGTCCGTATGAAATCTAATTTCACCATGTATATTTTGCTAGCACACTTTGTTGGTTTTAAGGTGAATAATTAATCTGTGAAGCTAATCCACTGATTAACTGTTTGGTAATCTTTAATGAATCTGCCCATCTGCTTCTGCTCTGGAATGGCAGTGCGTCTCTGATTGGGCAAAATATGCCTAGCCACGCCCCTTAAACTGTTAATTTGCTGTAAGTGAAAGAAAAGAGGAGGAGCTACTCAATAGTGTTTCAGTTAGAAATACATCATCATACTGAAATAAAAGCCTCAGCAACTTACGGTTCACTCTGACTTTAAAGTTGACCTATGCTGCCCCTTTTTACAAGATGTAAAATGAGTCTCTGATGTGCCTAGTGTGTGTGAGAAGTTTCAGCTGAAAATAGCACACAAATAATGTCTGAAACTGACCCTTTTAGGCTTTAATCCTAATTGTGGCGTTTTGGTGACTGTCGCTTTAAATTCAAATTAGATTGTGCTCTTTTCAGAAGAGGGCGGAGCTTAGGGCTGCGCTACATGGCAAAAATGCTATCTCGATAATTATTTTGCATATTGAACGATGATGATATATATTTTGAGATGAGTTGTTAATGCTTCCAGATTGAAAAGAGTATCCCAACAATGACTAAAGCCACATAAAATAGAGGATCCATTAAATGGCACAACATATTAACATATATATAACTTTTGGTGGCCAAAAAATCTGAACAACTCTAGTATCAACACACTTTTAGATTCTCATTGTTGCACATTTCTACTCTTAAATCAATATAGAGTAAAAAGTCCAGAGCTTATCTTTGTTATTGACAAATTTTATCGCGGTTTGATATTATATTGGTTATCAGCCCAGCCCTAGCGGAGCTACAAATGCCAGTGTGTCAGCATAGTGGCAGATTCAAAGACTCCCTGTGCTAATGAGCGAGAGATGGTCACTAGTGGGCGGGGCTTTCCCCCTCTGATGACACAAACAAAGAGAAAATGTCAATCAAAGTGTTTCTGCAGACTGCTTTTATCAAGTCGGGTTATAAAAAGTGTAGGAGCCGTACATTGTATTTTGGCTATTGGCCACAAGGTGTCAGTAGGAGACTATATAATTGTGGCTTCACTGCATGGAGTGAGACAGTGTTGGTAGGAAGCACACAGTTTTTGACCGTCTCGTATCGTAACTGAACGTCTCGTCTCGTAACTGAAGGTAACAGAGAAGTGTGCTTATAGATAAAGGAAAGTGATTGAGTAATTCTGTTGATTGGAAAATAAATATGTTTTTATTTGCAGCTATTTGCTTACGGACTCTGACTTATACGCGTTAAAAACTTGCTCACTCTACCAACAACAATAGCGGTATAGGAAAGCCGCTACAAAAAGTAAGATTAATACATTTTAACTATTAGGAGCTGATTATATTCACACACTGCTGACACACAACTGTGTTTAAACCCCTTATAAAAGTGATTTTTGCATAATAGGTCCGCTTTAATGTCAAATCCAGTAATTTATCCCTGGTGAAAAAAATATATATATGTATACAGGGCTCGAAAATAACTTTTTTACTTGGTAGCGCCGGTGCTCCCAACTTCAAATATTTACGAGCACCAAAATAATTTTAGGAGCACCAGAAAAAATTTAGGAGCACCCACCAAAAATGAATGAGCACCGCTGCAAATTGTTTTTTAAGGGATTTATTGTATTTTAAAACAATATTAATAGGACTGACAAAAACCAGAAACAACTATCTAACTAATGCTGCGAAGACATTGATATTTGTGTGCAATAATTCCAAAATGAATGTCTAATAATTAGGCCATAGAATATTAATGATGATGAAAATGACAATAATAGTAACAATGAATTCCATTTCTCATTATGATACTGCCTTGAATGTGCATGAATGTAGGTTATCTGCTATAAAATGTCAGTTACTTTATGAAAAATAAATGTATAGTTTGCATCAAACAAAAATGAAGCATTGCAGTAAGAAAAATTTATTTTGTACTGCTGTTTATATATGCATGTCAATTTAATAAATAATATTTCTGCAACAAAACAAACAAAAGATTATAATAAATCATTCAATTCAATGATGAAAGCTGCAAAGCAGTCATCAGTAAATAAAAAAAAAAAAATATACAACTCAAACAAGAATACACAAAAGAAAGTAAGTAAAGTCTCACTTCTATCACTGTTTAAAAGTTTTGGTTTCAGTTTGTGTCAATTTAAAGGTTCAGTCTGAGCTGATCTTCATGTTTCTGTGTTAGTGGAAAGCATGAGGCGAGTCAGCCGACCCAATTTATGAGCAGGCAGAGCAGGATTCTTGCGCTGACCACCGGCGCAATACCGGTCTTTGTTATGAGCTGCAGTTTCAGTGTAAACTTAGTAAAGGCGAGCTCCTTTGGCGATGAAATGTACAGTATTAGATTTGACTTTTAGCGGACATTTGCGCTGAACACGCAGTGAATGCAACACATGGAGATTCGGGCACCTTCTCCAAAAAGCGCGTACTCGATTGATCTCAGCTGGCGGATCATTATTCACCACGTGACGTGTCATGATCGCTTTCATCTGCGCCTCAACTTTAGGTGGAGTTTGCAAACCTGTGTGCTTTAAGTTTTCACTCTTCAGCCGTTTGCATTTCCCGTGGTCATAAAAGCTCCTTACCTGTCATCTGACAGCGGAATACCTTGAGTGAATGACTGCTAATATAAACCAATATAGCGGCAGGGAAGAGCGATTCAGCACGTTTTTAGAAAAAACCAAAACAGGTCGCACTACAACCATTATCTGCAGTCGCACGAATGCGTTCAAATATATTATGAGGTCGCATAGATTAATTTTCGGGCGCATATGCGACCAAAATGGTTACAATTTCGAGCCCTGATATATATATAAACCTTTACTAAATGTCACTCAAATGTGCTGAGTTCCAGTCAGTGTATTACCTGTATTGCCTGCAGTTTCCCAATCGGAGCGCCGAAAGCTGTTCTTTTATGAGCATAGTCAGCGGCACAGTCCAGAGCTGCCTGTGCGATACCGAGAGCCTGTGCTGCGATCCCCAGCCGCCCGCTGTCCAGAGTTTGCTGAGCGGAAAACCATTAAACAATTAGATTACAGTAGAGTAGCTGATAACAAAACACAAATGTGAACATGCTTTAGTTTAAAACTAGGAATGGGGTATATCCCAAATGATAAGATATACCAATGAATATTCTCCCCACAATAAGAATTTGTCCTTTAGTGAATAATATCAATAAAACAAACAATTTGCGACTGGTTTGGGACTGAAAAAATCTGGAGAATGAATAAATGTACTCTTATAGCATGTGTGCAAACTTACCTTACTCCAAATTCACTTCATAACATCAGTCAAGTGTTTAAAATAACTTCTTTTCATGGTTTCGTATTGGTTTGGAAATCATATTGTTTTATAGTATTCTCTACAGTGATAACAGCTATTAGCACAGGAATAAAAATATACTTTATCCAGTGTTTGGAGAAAATGAATAAATGAAGGCTGGGTTTACACAACAACGATGTAGTCAAAAATGGACAAAGTTTTTCCTCTCTTTTTTAAATAGTGTTGCATATACAGTTGAAGTCAGAATTATTAGCCCCCCTGAATTATTCGCCCCCATTTATTTTATTACCCAATTTCTGTTTAACAGAGAGAAGATTTTTTCAACACATTTATAATCATAATAGTTTTAATAACTCATTTCTAACAACTGATTTATTATATCTTTGCCATGATGACAGCAAATAATATTTGACTAGATATTCTTCAAGACACTAGTATTCAGCTTAAAGGGTCATGACACCCCCCACTTTCGGTTTAGGTCTACCTCAGAATGTTTTTAAAAGATGCATCATAATGGGGGTGGAGCTTCGCGAACAAAGGGCAGGAGTGGGCGTGGCCAGCAGGAGAGAAGGAGGGGAGCGGAACTGTTGTCAGTCGGCTCACAAAATGAGACACAAACCGTGAGGAGACGCATGAGTTTTTAGTTTACAAAGTTAAAATGCAAGAAATAATCAGTAATTTAATGCCCTGCTTCATATGTTATTCGTAATTTCATACACACATAACCACAATTTATATCATTATAAAGATAATCGTGTTCATGTAAACACTATAAATGAGGACTTCTCCCTCAATCCCCGGGTCTGAATGCAGACTCAGTGTCTCAGGTCTCTTGCCCTGTCTGTTTTAACTATTAGCTCTGCTGGTAATCTGGAGGATTTAGGTGAACACAGCAGCACGGTGATGTGTCTAAATGTGAACGAACTCCTGATAAAAGACAACGTCCGCCATTCTCTAATTCTCGTACTGCTCTCTCGACAAAAATGCTTGCTGGACACAAACAGCTTTCCTGTATCGGCCCTGACAGCATCGCTGGGAAAAAATGCCGGCTCTTCTCATAGGATAAAAAACTCCTCTATGAATAATAATGAGAAACCGACGCGTCACCTTTGCACTTGCAGTTCTACGCTCCGTCGCTGATTTTGATCTGCCCCAAAAATCATTTTAAACCCGAAAGCTGAAATTAGCTAAAAAAAAGCTCAAATTTATCCAGTTTTTCCCACAATTAAAGCTGACAGGTGCTAGCATTGTCTTAAGTGATGCTCAACACACACACATCTGGTAAAATCTCAAAACAAGTACTTAAGGGTTTCGTGAACCTTTAAAGTGACATTTAAAGGCTTAACTAGGTTAATTTGGTTAACTAGGCAGGTTAGGGTAATTAGGCAAGTTATTGTTTAACGATTGATTGTTCTGTAGACTATTGAAAAAAAAAATAGCTTAAAGGGGCTAATAATATTGACCTTAAAATGTTGTTTAAAAAATTTAAAACTGCTTTATTCCAGCCGAATTAAAACAAATATACACCAGTCAAATATTATCAGACATACTGTGAAAATTTCCTTGCTCTGTTAAACATTTTTTGGGAAATATTTAAAAAAGGAGAAAAATTTCAAAGGGGGGCTAATAAAACTAAAATTAACTGTATATTGTGGAGCCCTAGAATGAATGCTATTGGCATACTGGAGAAATTACCATTGCGATCTTAAAGCCCATTCCTCGCTCCCCCAGCATGTTTCCGAGCGGGATTCGACAGTCCTCCAGGATAATGTTGGCAGTGGATGAAGCTCGAATTCCCAGTTTGTCTTCTTTCTTCCCTAAAGACAGCCCTGGATGAGGCATCGGCACTAGGAAGGCACTAATCCCCTGATTCACAAATATAACAAAAAACATTAGCATGAGGAATGAATGAATACAAATGTTCATATTTAAATGTATTGTCATGGGCTATTTTATGATCACTAAGGGTGTAACAGTTATTAACATTATGTGTGCCAAATGCAATCCCTGTTTTACAGGTATAGTTCAAATCTTAGTTCCTACACACACATATTAGGTGCTTCCTCTTGTCTGCATGAGCGAAATCAATGTGCATTTTAAGCTCTTTGCACTTGATAATGACATGTGATTCATACAAGTCATATAATCATTTTTCATTGCTTGACATCGCAGCCCACCATTATCTATTTAAACTTTATTGCTGAAAACCTCAACGCAATTACTAAAATATGTATATCATTTTTAAAATTTATGCAGCAAATGCTTAAAATATATTTTTTAAATTACTGAAATATTGTCAATATCTATATATCAGACTAGAAAGCCACATCCCTAATTTAAATACAGTATATTATTAAGAGAACGGAATACAATTTTCAGATTTGTTTTATTTATTTAAATTTGTTTTACACTTATTTAGACTTTAAATCTTCACGAATGTTAATAATAACAAAAATGACAAGCAATTTCACTTAAATTTAAAATTTACTTAGACTTAGAAGCCAAAATGCATACCAAACTGTGAACTTTGGGTACCGTTATGCTGTGTTCACACCAGACGCGGAATGCAAATCAATGCAAATGCGCGAATAGACATCCTGCAGCGCGATACGCACAAATGGCGTGGCACAAATGACTCGAATTGCATGATGGCGCGGTGTGAATTGCGCTGCGCGAATTGAGCGTTTTGTGCGTTTGACGCGAATCGCTCGAGTTCAAAAATCTGGACTAAAGCGGACATTCGCGCCACATTAACCAATCAGGAGCTTGCTCTTGTGGGGGCGTGATTATGACGTAGCTTCTGTTGTTGGTGTCCCAGGGGAAATCCTCCAGCCGACCCCATCAACAGTGGTGTGAACACAGCATAACACCCCTAATGAATACACAAAATCAAATAATGTCAGCTAATTGAAAATCTATACTGTATAATTAGAATAAAAATAATCATTTGCACTAGGGCTGTACGACTTTGGGAAAATATCTAATTGGGATTTTTCTGACAGACATTACGATTTGATTTGCGATTTAATTTTGTGGTCCAGCTTCAGGTCAATAATCTGTAAACTGTGGCAACAATTCTGCGACAACTCTTGAAAAACGACCTGTTTTTGTTTGCTGTCTGTGACTTCTAAACCAAAATAATCCCATATTACATATTGATACTATTTGTCTAATAATGCTCCTCATGCAGCAGACGGCATTATGCGTTCCGCATAGTTTGGTTGCACAATTCTGATTGGGTCGAAAGAAAGTGCGCTCATTCAATTGACTAGTAAGACTGTCACACACAGACGGCAGTCACGCATTTGCTCTGGGCGGGAAAATTTAAATAATACTTATATATTTCATATCACAGCCTCTTGAGATTAGCTAATCAAAATGTTTTAAATTGCAACTACGATTTGATTTCGATTAATCACACAGCCCTAATTTGCACCTTGTGTTTGAGGCTCTTGTCTGTAGTGGCGAAGACGACGGTGGCAGAAGCATCCCAGCTGTTGGTGATCCAGGCTTTGGTTCCATTGAGAACCCATTCGTTTCCCTCCTGCTGCGCTAATGTCGACGCCGCACCCGCGTCACTGCCGTTTCCTTCATAGCAAACACACATTTTCAGCACAGCATTTAACATCACACAAAAATGTATACTTCAGTGTTGAGTGATTGCCATACCACATGGCATTTGGCTTGCATGTAGCCAATGCCGTTGTGGGCATTTAGGTTACGTGTCCACCGAAGCGTTATTGCGATGCAGAAGTGCCAACTGAATGTTTTTTTTCTGTTGCTATCAATTTTAAGTGCGTTGTTGTGCTAAGCGCTTGGCTCTGCAGCCAGAATTTACATTTTAAAAACAAAGCAAAGCCAGTATCGGTACTTGGCAAAAGCAAGATTGTATTGTTTTAATAATAACAGTATCGATATTTATCACTATATCGATATTTTTGATGCTACACCAGACCTAATACATGCACTCAACGCAGAAGTATAAATTGGCCTTATAGGTCACGTGAAGTGCTTTGAAATGTGCATTTTTATTTGATGTTTGATGTAATCTCAACCGAAACACGAAGAGAGGGCGGGACATAGTGTAGCTCCTCCCTTTTTTGAAAAACAGCCAATAGTTTTGTTTTATCACTGCTCTGCCGGTGACAGTGGTTGACCTCAAGAGGATCAAATGAAAAGCAAATGAGAAGGGGGCGGGGCATGTCAGATTCTAGAGAGTGTTTGATTGGTCGGAAGACTTGATGAGAAACTGTAGTGTGAGGTGACGTGAATAAAATCATTGATCCGAACGAGGCATACTACAAGCTTTACATGTTTATATCAGTTTTAAAAATGAATTTTGTCACGGTTTTGGAGCACACTAGCTTAGAGATATCCTAAAGATTAATAATACACATACTAACATCTAAAAAAAAACTTTATTTTAATTTCATTGGACCTTTAAAGTTGTAGATGCAACCATAAACACAATGCCTTCTAGTATACTTCACCAGTGCAGAGTAGATGGAAACGCAGTCGTGTTTACCTGGTTCACTCAGCGCGAAACATCCCACTTTCTCCCCCGTGGTGAAGGGTGTAATCCACTGCTTCTTCTGTTCCTCTGAGCCAAACTTCAGAATTGGACCAATGTACAGCGACTAAAACATGTGCATAAGCATGGGTTCAAGCAGAATTAAATGCAAACATTTTTTCATTAAAGTCCACATGAAATCAAGACTAACCGTATTGATTTTGTGAGCTCACATCGTTAATTCATCTGTGCATGTCATTAAGAACAAAGACATTGTTTGCTCGTCAAAGTTCAAATCTGAACATGCACTTCCTGTTTATTTTCAGTTAAATTCTCAGATTGGGTCTGTCTGAGGTATTGGGCGTGGATTACACACTAAACCACGCCCCCCAGCTATCAGTTTTGACATCAAACAGAAATGGTGAGCAGGAAGAGTCTGTTAGGCTGTAATAACTCTCCCCAAACCCTTTTGCCCATCTTTCAGAATGAAACACCTACTTTACTACATCCAATCAGCTTGCAGTAGAAAAAACAAGCCACGCCCAGTTTTCTCATTTACTATTCCATTTCTCCAGGAACTGCATTACGATACAAAAAAAAAAAATCTGCATGATTCTAGCTCATATAAATAAAACTCAATAAAACATGACTCACGTTATTGACACTGACGATGACTCCTGTCGATGCACATCCTCTGCTGAGCTCCTCCACAGCCAGACAATAGGCCAGATAATCCATTCCTGCTCCACCCAAACTCTCTGGCACCTCCACAGCCATCACACCCATCGCTCCCAGCTCCTGAACCTGCATCCATGAGGAAAAACACACATTATATACACACAGTTCCGTCAGCTCAGTGATTCAGGGCTGATAGTGGAAAAAATTCCTGAGCCTGAACTTTTTTTCCTTGCCCCTAAGGTGAGTAGGGGTAGGGGTACTATGTATGAAACGCACTTTTAACACATAACTTGTGGGCCCCTGGGCCCAAATATATTAACAGCCTATGTGTAACCCTGATCATCATTATTGTCAAGCGGCTCTTTTTAGACACATGCCAGTAATGTCAGTGACACATGCCAGTGTCAGTGATCTTGTGACATGTGCCAGTAGGTGTCAGTATAAGCAGGTTATAAGCACATTAATCTTATAAGTCTCTTTGCTTTAATATTTAAAAATCATTAGGCAAATGACACCTGTTATCTTACATGCATATATGTTATGAGTTTTCAACATGCATTTATACAGTACAACAGATAAGTGTAACCCCTCCCATACATAAGCATGCCACAATAAATTTGACTGACATGTACTGTCAAATGACTATATTACGTACGGAAGTATGACTACGAATACATAAAATAAATGCGTTTAAATTAAAACATCGTGGAGTAGCTCATCAAATAAACTAACTTGCGACGCGATAAATTAGGTTAAAAGTCGCGTAATGATTAAATATAGTTTTGCTCGTGTTAATTAATGTCATAAGCTTCGCCGGGTGTCGATGTCACTGCAGTGACATGCAGCGCGACACTCTGAGTGACACAGGTCACTACACATGCCACTAGCGAGTGACACATGACAGTGGAAAACCGGACTGTGCCAGTGTCATCTGTACGTCAGATGTCGTGTCACTCCATGTTAAAACTGCTACTGTGAATCCGCGTTCAAGCGCACACAATAAGCTAAAACTCGCCCCAAGCACCGGCAAAAACAAATAACAATGAATGTGTCGAAGAAAGAGTAACGACATATCTTAATTATTTATTTATTATTTTTTTATTTTATTATTTATTATTTTAATTAATTATTTACATATTCTGAGTCAGTGTCGCAAAGATCCTGACTGGCAATCTCATCTTGGACTCGCCTTTAGAAAGAAATTCATCTTTACGGATTACATGAAGGAGTTTTTTTGTTTTCGATTTGTTTTATTTCGTTAAGTAATAATTTAAAGCTTTCTATAAATATATTTATTATGTCTGTGAGGCATATACATTTTGCTTCATTTTGTTAAGCGCTCCTGTTCAAAAACTAGACGACAGAAAGCGCATAATTTTGGTTTTCTTTATTTTATAAAAACACTGTAATGTTTTTTGATGTATTACTCGTACTTTGTGAGCAAAAATGACGGATAACTTTAAATTGCTCCCACTGAAAAAATGCAAGTGATTGCTCTGGCGCCGCGATGTCCTGCAAGCTTTTTATAAGCAAACTATGCGCCTAATAGCACACATTCTTTAACGTTTAAGCTACCATTGTTTTATACTTGAACTGTTTTCTTTATTTTAGGCAAGTCGTGATGATCTGAGAAGGCAAACTGATCAAACAGACAATGATGGTCTTCCGCTGGGCGCTGTTCGTTAAAAAAAACTTATTTTTAACGAATAAAAAATGCTCCAAACGTTTTTCTAAATAAGCTGAATAAAAAACGAAACTAAATATAAACACTTTGCCATTAGGCTACATACAAAACTGAACTATTTCATAGCTGAAACACTAAGTTGTTTAAGGAGAAGGGGGGAATATATTTTTGTCCCGTCTATTGCTTCACCGTTATTTCGAGAATAAACCCAGCGTAAATATGCAGATGTCATTCCCAAAACATATCAGCGTATATGTGCCGAAAACGAAAGTTTCATACAAATTCTGAATGGATTATAGCCTGGAAAGTGCAAAGCACGCTCCTCTTATTATCACTAAAAAGCGTCACTAATCTTAGTTCATAGAGATCTCACAAAGATCCGTTATAATTTATAAAGCTCTCTAAATTACACAATTAATCTTTTATTTACATGGCGTCTACACTCAAAAGATGATTCACGAGCACACAAAATGGCACTTAATAAAAACCAATCCGGCGCTTTCAGCAGTGAGTGAATTCTGTGAATCTAGAGAAATGACAGATCAATATCCGTGAACCTGATTTTTTTTTCCCCCGCAGCCACAGTACGCCGGAAATCCGGCGTGGTGCCGGAACGCTATCACCCCTGGTGATTAGCACTGTTGCTTCACAGCAAGAAGTTCGCTGGTTTGAGTCCCGGCTAGATCAGTTGGCATGGATTTCCTTCGGGTGCTCCAGTTTCCCCCACAGTCCAAACACATATTGGACCTTTTTTGCTTTCAGATCTGTCTTAATCCTTCATGGCAGAGATTGAACATGCTACTGGAAATATTCCTCAGAGATTTTGCTCCATATTGTCATGATAGCATCACACAGTTGCTGCAGATTTGTCGGCTGCACATCCATGATGCCGATCTCCACCACATCCCAAAGCTGCTCTATTGGATTGAGCTCTGGTGACTGTGGAGGCCATTTGAGTACAGTGAACTCATCGTCATGTTCAAGAAAGCAGTCTGAGATGATTGAGCTTTATGACATGCTGCGTTATCCTGCTGGAAGTAGCCATCAGAAGATGGAGACACTGTGCTCATAAAGGGATGGACATGGTCAGCAGCAATCCTCAGGTAGGCTGTGGCGTTGATGCTCAATTGGTACTAATGGACCCAAAGAAAATCTCCCCCACACCATTACACCACCACCACCAGCCTGAACCGCTGATACAAGGCAGGATGATCCATGCTTTCATGTTGTTGAGGCCAAATTCTGACCCGAGCATCCGAATGTGTCAGCAGAAATGGAGACTCATCAGAGCAGCAACGTTTCTCCAATCTTCTATTGTCCAGTTTTGGTGAGTCTGTGTGAATTGTAGCCTCAGTTTCCTGTTCTTAGCTGACAGGAGCGGCACCCGGTGTGCTCTTCTGCTGCTGTAGCCCATCCGCCTCAAGGTTGGACGTGTTGTGTGCTCAGAGATGCTCTTCTGCAGAGCTCAGTTGTAACGAGTGCTTATTTGAGTTTCTATCAGCTGGAACCAGTCTGGCCATTCTCCTCTGACCTCTGGCCTCATCAACAAGGCATTTGCGCCCACAGAACTGCCGCTCACTGGATATTTCTTCTTCTTCAGACCATGCTCTGTAAACCCTAGAGATGGTTGTGCGTGAAAGTCCCAGTAGATCAGCAGTTTCTGAAATACTCAGAGCAGCCCTTCTGGCTGCAACAATCATGCCACGTTCGAAGTCTCTTAAATCCCCTTTCTTCCCCATTCTGATGCTCGCTTTGACCTGCAGCAGATCGTCTTGACCATGTCTACATGCCTAAATGCATTGAGCTGCTGCCATGTGATTGGCTGATTAAAAATTTGCATTAACAAGCAGTTGGACAGGTGTACCTAATAAAGTGGCCAGTGACTAGTAAAAAAAAAACTAGTAAAAAAAACTAAACATGTAATAAATAAAAAAAATGTAATGAAATAAAATAAATGCTGACTGTTTAAGATTACAAGCCTTCCTTGGCACAAAAAACATCCTAGATTATCCTTTATCCTTACAGTTTATGCACATTTTTTCATGTTTATCCTACTCAGTTGTGTTTTTTCAAGTGCATTTTCAAAAATATGTTTTAATCTTAGTGTTTGTATTAAGCTTTTTTGCAATATTTGCCAAAATGCACATGAAAATAGGTATATGGAAACACAGCTAGCGGCGGTGGCTCTTTCACCTGTTTGGCTGGAAACCTGTGCTCTTTGTCCAGCAGTCCAGCGATTGGCGCGAGCTCCTTTTGTGCGTAATCTCGACACGTCTGCCTCATCATCTGATGCAGCTCCGGCAGCTCCGCCAGCTGGGTTAAACACCGAACACCTCGACCCAACGCCATCACCACTGCTCACACACACAGAAACAAGACAATATCAGCATGCTTATATCGTCAAGTCAAGCTTTAGTGTAATGCCTCTACATTTATGCCTGGTCCTCTTAGTGGTCAAGATTTAAACCAAACCTAAGGATGCACAAAAAAATTGACCCCCCTATTTAATGCTTTTTAAACAGGGAAACCCATGCCAACACGGGGAGAACATGCAAACTCCACACAGAAATGCCAACTGACCCAGCTGGGACTGAAACCAACCAACTGCGCCACTGTGATGCTCTATTTGCATGTTGCTGTATTTAAATGTAAATATTAACTACTATTTTTATCTTCTGTGGGTTCTGGATAAAATATGATAATTCTAATAATTTAATCAGATGTATAAATCACCAAGGGGGTCCCCCTGTCATTGTCCCGCGATCCCCACTTTGGGAAGCACTGCTCTAAATGACAAAAAATATCTGAAAATGTGAAGAAATGCTAGCAAACCTTTATAGAAAGTAAGCAATACTAACATTTTACTCATGTCCACACCCAATAAATCGATTAAATATTTATTATTTTATTAGTATTTATTTATTTATTTTTATGAGTATTTTTATCATCCATTAGTATTTATTACAAGTGTTTATTTTTTATCATTTCTTAGTATTTATTTCATGCATTTATATTATTTATTTCAATTATTTATTATTTAGTTTATTATTTTATCATCTATAAGTATTTATTTCAAGTATTTATGATTTTTATTAGCATTTATTAATTTTTTGTATTTATTTTAAGTATTTTTATTATTTATTAGTATTTTTAAGCATTTATTATTTTATTAGTATTTTTTATTATTTATTAGTATTTATTTCGAGTATTTATTATTTTATTACTATTTTATATTATTTATTAGTATTTATTTTAAGTATTCATCATTATTATTTTTATTAGTATATATTTATTTATCAGTATTTATTTCTAATATTTATTAGTCTAATATTATTAGTATTTATTTAAAGTATTTTTATTATTTATTAGTATAGTTTCAAGTATTTATCATTTTTATTTGTATTTTTTATTATTTATTTCGAGTATTTATTATTTTTATTTTTTTCTTCAATCCACACCTAAGAAATCGATTAAATCTGTAAAAACCGAACATCTTCCAAAAAAATAAATCGCTGTTATTATCACGTCAGTAAATATTGAGTTAATGCGCATGCGCAGAACCAGCAGGGTGAACTAGGTAAAAGGTCACAGTGAGTTTGTGCACTGTATTACCAACAATATAACAAAAAAAGCCTTCAGTTATAAAAATAAGTTTGTCAAATTCGTTATATAGAACAAATAAAAGTTCATAGCGCGTGTATTTTAATCTAAACCTCAATAGTTTCACTTTATCTCACCATGATGAGTGGTTTGTTTTGAATGAACCAGTCAGCTGTGAGGGTCAAGATTAAACACACACATGATAATAAATAATCCACCCGAAACAACACGAGCAGCTCAGTCTTTATATTTCACCTCATTTAATCTCTCAGTGCACGAGTTTATGCCGAGAATCCGTCAAACTATTTCATTAGCATTGCAGGACTTTTATGTCATTCTGTTGATTATTTGTCTGATATTGAACCCAACCCTAAACAGTATCATGCACAAATAAACATGTATGTTCTGTATTGATGTGCATTACATTTTCAACAACCGAAAAGTATTAGACAGTCGTGCATATGTGTGTGCACTGTGCATTACATGATAAAACGTGAATAATCATGCGCATTGGTCTGTTTAATGTCGATCTGCAGATGCATTAAGCAAAGGTGGATCAGTGAGAGTCGCTGCTGGTCTGTGAATGCCACCGCTGTAAAATATACAGTAATAATCAGCAACACTACTGACCTCTCTGGGCTTTGAAAAGCGCCGCCATCTTGGCTCTTATGGGTTTGGTTTCGCAACGGCATGCACTAAATTCCAGGGGTTTCATTACCACGACGTAAAATGGGCGTGGCTTGGTCGGCGTTTGGGAAACGCCCCCTTAAAGAAAAAAACAATACTGAGAGGTCACCGATCATGCGCAGTACAGGTTCTTTTTTAGCGCGGTCATTTCAAACCGGATGATTATGGATAAAGAACCTACCGCGGTGGATAACGAAGGAAAGAAAACAATCTTACAGGTTATTTTTTTTTGTTTGTTTTTATAATGTTATATTTTAAAGATTTCATTAGCAAAAACAGATGACCTCGTTTTACTCCGTTTTACTGTCTCTGGGCTTTTGTACTTCCATGGTAACGTAAACCAAGTAATAATGGTTGTGGTAAGATTAACCGTGTTTTTGTAGTTTAAAATATGGTATTCAGTCATGTTTAAACAAATAAATACCACATTTTTCTGTAATAAACCGTGGATAATTTTTCTTTCTCAATCTTAGTTAATTAACATAACTCATATTTATTTTCTATTTTTATTTAAAGTCATCATACACAAAACAACTGAGAGCAGGACAGGTATCTGATGTTAACTAATATAAAAGTGATCATACATAAAACCCCTGGGATCAGGACAGGTATCTGATGTTACTGTATATAATATAAAAGTGATCATACATGAAACACCTGGGATCAGGACAGGTATCTGATGTTAATGTATATAAAAGTGATCATACATGAAACCCCTGGGATCAGGACAGGTATCTGATGTTACTGTATATAATATAAAAGTGATCATACATGAAACACCTGGGATCAGGACAGGTATCTGATGTTAATGTATATAAAAGTGATCATACATGAAACCCCTGAGATCAGGACAGGTATCTGATGTTACTGTATATAAAAGTGATCATACATGAAACCCCTGGGATCAGGACAGGTATCTGATGTTAATGTATATAATATAAAAGTGATCATACATGAAACACCTGAGATCAGGACAGGTATCTGATGTTAATGCATATAATATAAAAGTGATCATACATGAAACCCCTGGGATCAGGACAGGTATCTGATGTTACTGTATATAAAAGTGATCATACATGAAACCCCTGGGATCAGGACAGGTATCTGATGTTAATGTATATAATATAAAAGTGATCATACATGAAACCCCTGGGATCAGGACAGGTATCTGATGTTACTGTATATAAAAGTGATCATACATGAAACCCCTGGGATCAGGACAGGTATCTGATGTTACTGTATATAAAAGTGATCATACATGAAACCCCTGGGATCAGGACAGGTATCTGATGTTAATGTATATAATATAAAAGTGATCATACATGAAACACCTGGGATCAGGACAGGTATCTGATGTTACTGTATATAAAAGTGATCATACATGAAACACCTGAGATCAGGACAGGTATCTGATGTTAATGCATATAATATAAAAGTGATCATACATGAAACCCCTGAGATCAGGACAGGTATCTGATGTTACTGTATATAAAAGTGATCATACATGAAACACCTGAGATCAGGACAGGTATCTGATGTTAATGCATATAATATAAAAGTGATCATACATGAAACCCCTGAGATCAGGACAGGTATCTGATGTTACTGTATATAAAAGTGATCATACATGAAACACCTGAGATCAGGACAGGTATCTGATGTTAATGCATATAATATAAAAGTGATCATACATGAAACCCCTGAGATCAGGACAGGTATCTGATGTTAACTAATATAAAAGGGATCATACATGAAACCCCTGGGATCAGGACAGGTATCTGATGTTACTGTTTATGATATATAAAGTATTTGACACAAAAGCCCTGGGATCGGAACAGGTATCTTAAGTTATAACAGTATTAATGTAATCTGAGAGGTAACTTAAGTTAATTTGTTTAATATAACATACACTGATTTCACATGAAACACCTGATCAGGACAGCTATTTTAAAGAACTGCATATAAAAGGCATTGGACACAAAACCCCTGCGAATACGTACAGGTATTTGAATCAAACGGCTGTTTTCACAATCTGCGCATGATCCGTGACCTATGCAAATTCACATATAGGCCACGCCCACCCGATGACGTAATAGCGGTTACGCTGTACTGAAACCCCTGGAAAAAAGTGCCTGCCGTTTCGCAACAAGCAAACAGGAAGCGGCGTGCGAGCGCTCGTGCCATGTGATCGTGTCACGTTGACTTTTATTTTGGTTAACCCTTTAATGTGCACTATGATTTTTTTTACCCACATCTTGCGTTGAATTCTATTCCTGACACCACTGTTAACTTTTTATATTGCTATTTCAATGATACCCTATGGACGAAGGGGAAACTAGGTGGCTAATGCTTGAGTTAAATAATAATAAATAACAACAATATATACATGTGTTTTATACTTAAAATGAATATACGATTGTAAATACAGTTTGTTTTTAATATTTTTAGTTTTTGAGTTGTACATTAATTTGATATTAAGTAAATATTAGTTTCTATAGTTATACTTTTATAAATATGTATAAAACTTTGTGTTTACTGTCTATTTTTATTTGATATTTGTTTTGTACTTTAACTACCTCAAGTAGCAAAAATAATTTAGTAATATCAGGTATTTATAATTTTTATCAATTAGTATTAGTATTCTTTATTAGTATTATTTATTATTGTTTATTAGTATTTTTAATTATTTATTTCAAGTATTTATTTTTATTATTTTTATTATTTATTAGTATTTGTTTTTAGTTGTATGTTAGTATTTATTATTTTTGATTATTTATTAGTAATTATTTTTTAATTATATATTAGTATTTTTTAATTATTTATTATTTTTATTAGTATTTATTATTTAATAATTTATTTCAAGTATTTATTATTTTATTAGTATTTTATTATGTATAAGTATTTATTTCAAGTATTTATTTTTAGTAGTTTTATTGTTTATTTAAATAATTACTTTTTATTATTATTTTTATCATTTATTATTATTTATTTCAAGTATTTTTTGTCTAATGGTATTTTTCAAATATTTATTTTTATGAGTGTTTTTGTTATTTATTAGTTAAAGTATTTTTTATTATTAGTATTATTTATCATTTATTAGTATTTTCAAGTATTTATTATTTTTATAAGTATTTTTTATTCATTAGTATATATTTTAAGTATTTATTTTTAATTATTTATTAGTATTTATTTCAAGTATTTATTATTAGTATTTTATTATTTATTAGTATTTATTTCAAGTATTTATTATTGTTAGTCATTTTTATTATTTATTGGTATTTATTTCAAGTATTTATTATTGTTATTAGTCATTTTTATTGTTTATTAGTATTTATTTTAAGTATTTATTATTTTTATTAGTATTTTTATTATTTATCAGTATTTATTTTAAATATTTATTATTTTTTATTTAAAGTATTTATAATTTCATTAGTATTTATTTTAAGTATGTTTTATTATATATTATTTAAGCATTTATTTTTAAGCTTACAGTAACTAAATGTTTACGTGACCAAAAAATTTTGAAAGAAACAACAGCACAAGTCAGCGTCTTTATTTTTCCAAAACATGTTTATTATTGGCATCATAAAAAGGCAGTGAGATGTTCCGGGACAATTTAAATTAACCTATTCTGTGGTGGGGGGAGGAGTCAGAGAAAAAAGGGGGCGGTACGGGGATAAAAAGCGCCATGAGAAGGCGAGGTGCTATGCTACAAGGGCTAAATTCACTGTTTAGCGGCGGTCATGTTGAAGCATCCGCGCTGGTGGAACTGCATGTCCCGCACACGGCGCACGGACTGGATCTGAGGCTGGAAGGCACAAAACTCGTTGTAGTGTCTGTAGTCGCCACACTCAAACAGATACTGGTATCCTCTGTAGCCGGGGTACTGGTATCCCACCCAACTGCAAACAAAGAAGGAGACGTGTAAATGATAGGGCATCATGGTTATAGCTGCATTTTAAGGTCTAAATCTATTTGGGCTACAGTAGTAAAACATTAGCATTAGCATTGTGTGCAATTTTAAACAAAAGCTATAGCCTATTCAGTTTGTACATTTGGTGAGTTGTTTACCAGATTCACTCTGAATGGATCAATTTAATCAGTGAGTTGTTTGCTGGTGATTCACATTGGATGAATCATTTGAATCTGTTAGTAGTTTACTGCAGATTCACACTAAATTGATCCTTTGAATCAGTCAGAAGTTTAGTGAACAGATCATTTGAATCAGTGAGTTGTATACTGGAGATTCACTCTAAATGAATCATTTGAATCAGTCAGAAGTTTACTGAACAGATCATTTAAATCGGTGAGTTGTTTAAAGAATCATTTGAATCAGTGAGTTATACTAGCGACTCACTCTGGATGGATCAGCTGAATCAGTTAGTTGTTTACTGGAGATTCACTCTGAATGAATCATTTCAAACAGTTGATTACTGAAGATTCACATTGAATTGATCATTTGAATCAATCAGAAGTTTAGTGAACAGATCATTTGAATCAGTGAGTTGTTTACTAAAGACTAACTCTGAAAGGACCAATTGAATCAGTTAGTTGTATACTGGAGATTCACTCTAAATGAATCATTTGAATCAGTCAGAAGTTTACTAAACATATCATTTGAATCTGTAAATTGTTCAAAGAATCATTTGAATCAGAGAGTTGTTTACTAGCGACTCAGTCTCAATGGATCATTTGAATCAGTAAGTTGATTACTGGATCACTCTGAATGAATCACTTGAATCAGTGAGTTGTTTAATATTTATGGTATATCATCGGTTGTTTGAGGTTGGGATTTGGCACTTACGCTCCACCGGGGACCCTCACGCTGCCCACTCTGTCGCAGAAACCGTGCGCCCACAGGGTTGGCACATCATCCTCCTGGATCTCCATCTTGTTGCCCTTGAAGTCGGAAAGCTCAAACAAGCAGATCTTGTGCTCCATGGGGTCCTGTGGGCATGAAGACCGGCGGATAAATTACAA